GTGTACGAGTTATCGGATTATAATAAATCTAGCTATCATGCACGCTGGAAACATTTGTGTAACGTAATAAGATTTGGGGGCGCTTCGACATGGATTGAAGCAGTAGGTCTAGCTTTAGACAAACTTTTCTGGACAAAAAGCATCGTGCAACACATTTCACATGGGCCTCAGTACTATCACGTAACAATCATAGTTCAAAAGTTCATAACTGACACGTATACGTTGTCGCAGTTCTTAATAAACACGCAACCGGAAATTAACAGCAAATAATTTGGTTGTTTATATTACTCTCATCGCAACAAAGGTATTCCGAAATCGTGTGGAACTACTACGTTGTGCCGCAATCAAGACTGATATACTGGTATAAATTTCCATGCCAGGCTCTGTTTTAATAATCCTATGAATTGAATGTAACGTCAGTTTGGAACTTATCTCACTAAACTATTTAATATTGTAAATGTACATCACGAAGTCTACGTGCTATGCTTTTTAAAGCCCTTTCTTGTTTTAAAAATCATGCCACCTGTTCGAATATCCAGGTTGATCGAGTACTATCGGTAGTAGATTTAATTGTTGTTATCCTCTTTAATTTAAACTTATTATTCTAATAATTTCAGTTTCTTATTGTAGTCTGTGCATTATTTTAAATAGTATACTTAGTTTTCCAGAGGCGATGTGCATCTAGAAATTGATCATTCGCTTATTTACTAAACCATAGTCTCTTGGAACTTTCACATCTCATCAAAAACTTATAAATATTTATAGATAATGCCTTTGTTGTGATGAGAATAACGATGAGAACTCGTTTCCGCCGCCCACGGTTTTGTGACCAAATATGGCAATCGGAAAGGCGATATTTTGTTCCAGTCTGGTTATGGTAGCGGGTGCCAACTTGAAGTGCGATATGGTGTATAAAATCGATGGATGGATGGATGAAATTACAAAAATGACTATCCCCTTTTTAAAATGGCTTAATATTTACACTAACTACGCGTATTGGTCGTTTTACCTCGTTTTTTTATTTGTTTCCATAGCAGTAAGAGTTTTACCCTTCATCGAACAATTGGCAAAACCCCTCTGCACAAATAGCATAGCCGATCACGTGATGGGTGGGGGGGATTCCCTTTTCCTTCTTTATAAGTGAAATTGCTTTGGTGTTCGTAGATTGAAAAACTAGATGCCACGTAAAATTACGCCGAATCCACGACAGCTATGATCGGTTCAAGACCCCGTTCTCGATCTCCATGTGAAGAACGTCCCCATGACTTTAAAAGACAGAAATCTATATCAACGCAATTTGGTGTTTTGAATGTAGAAGAGCAACCAATCGACGAGGTTGACGGCATTGTTGACAAATGCGTAGATGTGATGCAGCATGGCGTCGAATATATAAAGGAGCACTGTGTACAGTGTTTACAACCTCAGCTGAGTGAGGTAAGGATTTCTGTGTTGTTTCTCATTGAATTCGCTCATTCATCCACACACCCGGCGCTTTTTATCATGAGTTTTTACATTATAACTTCGTTGTGTTTTGGGGATTTCCGTCCGTTCTCCGACGTCATTTCTCGAACATGTCTGACTGGTTTGGTACCGAGACAAGTCAAAATGGGATACATATTGTGGCGCAAATGTGGAACGGGTCTTGTGTGGGGCTTCTCTATATCTGTGGGCTTTGAGCTTATTTTCTGTACAGGTCTTATAATAAACTTCTCTGTTACAGGGTGTGTACTGGCCTAGATAATGATTTTAAACGATCGAAAAATGTACATTTATAGTTGAGTGTGGATGAGTTGTAGCACTACCTTGGATGTTATACATATTGTTGCAAACCATTACCCATGCTCAAACTCTTGATTGAGATGCCCATGTACTCAGTGCTGCATGTCGAAATTCAAGAATTGATAGTATAGGGAAACCAGAGGGTATCTGGCAAGGATTCACTTGCAATAAAGGGACTGCCTCTCTGAAAAGCTGCATCTGAAATCAAGACAGTGAATCAGCAATTATGATAAACACATCTGGAATTTGAGCGACCTGAAACATAAAATTTTTGTGCTGCTTCAATGACCAGATGGTGTATTAATTTCATGATTCCTGGCCATTTTGATTTTTTTTTTAATTATAAGCACGGTTGCCATGGAAGAGAAAAAGTTTTCGAGTCCAGATTTTTCCCCCATAAATTACATGCTACCACAAAAGCTTTTTGAAAGTGACAGGTATTTTTCATCAGTCCATGAGTGGCCTTGGAACCAGTGGCCCTGAAAATAGCCCATAAAACTATCCGGCACCCATGAACAGTTCAACATGGAAATTCCATTCCATTCCAGTCTATATTCAACATGTGCAAGTCCTTGTCTACTTTTCACAGGTATTTGTTTCATAATGATGGATTACTCATTTTGTTCAAAGTAGATTAAAGTACATGTTGATTTTTTTTTGTTCATTTTGATGACCTTTGACCGACTGTCTGATTTAAGTCCAAAAAAAAAACATTTGAAAATGTCTTCAAACTTTTTTTTGTAGATTTTATTCAGACTTGGTCCTCAGTGTCATAACAGTGACATGATCAGTGTAAATCATAAAGAGTATAACAGATTTATTGTCCACGGTTAACTGGCCTTCACTGTGATTTGTCATTTCCTTTATGATTTTACTCTGGTGAGAATGTGGTGTGCTACTAATCATGAACTAAACATTAAGATTCTTTTTGTTTTTTAATTTTGAAGAAAAAACATGTTGTACATTATATTTAATTTTAAAATTAGCCACAGTTAAATTACAGTATAATTATAGAAGGTTTTCTATCTAAAAACAAAAATACTGGTTACACAGGATGATGCAGAAACAAAATCACGATGAGGATGATAAATTTACTATTTTTTTTTTCATCTTTTCAGGATTTGCCTCAATGGCCTGAATCTAGAGTGGGAATCCCACATCCCAATGCTCCCAGTCAACGCATTGACTTAGGAATGAAATTTAGAACTATTCAGTTAGATAATGATCAGTATGAACATAGTGTGCTTGAAGTCGAAGAAAATAGTTCGGCACATCAACTTAAGATTAGGTAGGTGGTTTGATGCTTGTTGTATTTATTCATTGTAGGAGTGGTCTTCTCTATGGATCATGAATTCCACATTGCAAATCAGTTAACATTTAAAGAAAATTTTGGAAGTGATAATTGAAAATACACATCAAACACCAATAGTTTTAAAAGGTGATGAAGGACGGAATACTCCTCGTCACAATATTGTTAAATTTCCAAAATGGTTGCAATGCAGACAGTTCTTTACCAATCGACTTTGTGCCATGAAAGAGATGAATGTTTGTTCAAGAAGATCTCTGCGTAAGAGACTGCAAAAAAAAAAATAGAGGTTAGGGTTAGGGTTACTAATTAATGGTCGACTCTATATCAATAACAGGTTGTATAATAAATCAATTGAATTGGTATGTTTACTCGTCAGAGAGAGGGTGTTTCAATCATTGAATGATTATGCTTCATGAAATTCACTCCACTTACAATGTGGAAAACAAGTGACCAAGTCCTGGGCCAGGACACAGCTCATAATGTAGGGTTAATTATCAGAGATCTTGACTATGTGGTTCATAAAGTTCAGACAGATGAAAAGGGTACGATTGTCATGCTGTCTGTAAATATTGATAACAGAACATACCTTTTTATTAAACAAATATACACCTACTACTGTAGCACCTCACCTGTCATTTAAGGAAAATGTACTGAATATACTAGATGATTATCGCACGGATTCGGAACGAAAGAAGGGGAGGAGATCATGACGTGACTCTTTATCTACACTGGATGGGTCTGGTGGAAATCTAGTGGTCTGGGAATGATCGAAGAGATAATAATAAAAAATATTATTACTCATGTTGATATTTGGCAAATCAGAAACCCTATCACTAAACGTTTCACATCTGACCAATCAGCTATTGTCTTTCAGTGAAGGATTTACAATATAAAAGGGAGCAGAGGTGTGGCTTGTGACAGTCTGTACATGAAATTTGAGATCTATGAATGAATTCTGTCGATAAAAACAACTTATATGTGCTAAAATGCCCTAAATATCTGGTATAAAACGGGCTGTGAAGCAGACGACAAACTTCCGCTTTTCTTGGCGTCATTTCGCCTCTAGAGGGCCAGTCAAATGACGTCATCAGTGAACACTGATAATTGAACCCATTCATGCTAGTACGTCAATCCCATAGAAATGCTACTATGAAAGACCTTGTTAACTGACTACTTAAAAGTTGAAACATGGCGAGGTGTTGTGTTATGAATGTCGTAACGATTCATGTTATGTTTCTCGAAATCCCAAATAAAAAATCACGTTGTTGGTTGCGAGAAATCGGCTCAAGAACTAACCTGAAAGTGAAGACAGTACAGCGTTCTGGCTATAGTAAACAGTGAGTGAATAAATATTGTACGAGTTAAACTAAATGAAAAATATGCTAATATCACTTGAACCACAGTACTCATTTTGCCCAACTTCCCACTTTTTAAACGATTGCTTAATTTCCGACCGCACTGTATTTTCCGACTGGAAAACGACCACATTTTTACCGTTTTTTTTTTCTCTCGCTCGCTTATTGAAAACACCGACCGCTCGCT